ATGTATATGAAAAATAAAAATTTGTATAGCCACACTTAATAAAAATAGGATTAAATCCTGGCTCTACTGAAGTCCATGACAAACTCCCTAATAACTAGGGATGTAAAATCTCATTCAATCAGTTAACTGGTTAAACACTAGGTTTAACCAGTTAAGAGATTAAGGGGGATCCCAGGTGAGGGACTGCTCCAGACTGCTCCAGCCAGGCTCCATCTCCCAGCCTCACCAGATCCGCACAGGGTTGTCAGCCCTGCAGGGTTGGCTCCTGTCCTGGCCCACGGCATGGTGGGCCCAGTGGGGTTGGGACAGCTCTCCACCCACAGTGGGTTGCAGGGCTGATCCCAGTTAACTGCTACTGGTTAACCAGTTACCCATTCACATCCCTACTAATGACCATTAGTGTCTGAAATCACTGCCAATACTCAATTCAGACAGTTCGATATAGCCTACTTTTGACATAACTTACATAGCTTGAAAAGCAATAAAGTAGTAGCATCTGTACCAACAATTACTATATTGCACTTCTGTTCTTACCTGCATAGCATATTTCTCAATTTCCTGTGCCCTGTTCCAATACCAATCAGAAACCAGGTCTATTGAAAGCTTAGCAGTCCTGTATTTTAATAACTCAGGTTGTGCTTCATACAAGAATTCTGCTTCATCTTGAAGAACTGGTTCAAACAACGTTCTGAGAAATGCAGACAAAAAGGTACAAAGGTATATACAGATGGACCAAGACTGACACCAACAACAGCTATATGTGTTCATGCAATGCTCTGGATAGGACTTAGCAGTACTAAGCAGTTGTACTAAACAAAGAAGTAAGCTGTAAAAACTTTAAAAAAACCCAGCAAATACATGGATAAAAAGCCATTTTTTAAATAATCACTTCTTCCCCCCATCCCCAACTTGTTCATCCAGACTGACGGAAATGGTGCAACTTACACAAATCAAAAGCACAGTGGAAAAATTTGGAAAGCCTGTCTATGTACTACTTACGAATTCTGTTTAATATGATTTCAAACTATAATTTTGCTCCATTTTGCTCAGTGAGCACCACCTTTGAACCTGCAGCCTTCAAGTGACAGAGGGTGGATCACTTGATGATTACACACTCTGATCATTCCTTCTAAGAGCACCTGGCATTGGCCACTGTCCAAAGACAGGATACTGGGCTAGATAGACCTTTGGTCTGAACCAGTATGGTGATTTTTATGATACTATACTGAGCTGGAACACCCAGAAGAAATTATTGCATCTAGCACGGAGCTAACAATTAAACCTTGATGACTGTCCATGAAAATGGAAGTACCCTTTGACAAAGAGCTGGCTCCAGCCATAGAGACACCAATTTCTTCAAGTCTGGTTCTAGCTGGCTAACCACCAAGCAAGAAAATTATCACCTTGCAGGGGTTTTGAACCCAGCCACAGTCCCCATGACAAAGGGACTGGAAATCTATTTTAAAAAGGGTTCTCTCTCAGCCACTTTAAAGAAGAGGAAAAGACCTGAATCATAATGTGAATCCTAAGAGTGTTCAAGAGTAAAGGGAAAAGTGCCACAGGGAATTTTGCACAGGTTTCTTTGTTTCATATGGGTCAGTATATCTGTTGGACCTCCCTGAGGAGGTCAAGCATAAACTAGAGTGTTCACTATGGTAGAACTCTGCAAAAGGTCATTCTAACAGCTAAAGCCAGAGATATCCTGGATAGGGGCTAACACTGGTCCTGAGGCAGTTAGGCTACAGGGTTCCACTTCAAAAAGAGATAGAGGATTGGGTTTCTGCACTTAGTAACTGGCCTAAAGATGCCAGAGCCAAAGATTGACTGAAGCCTATCTGGACAATGCCCAGCGTATGGTTAAAAAATAGTGGCTTGGTGAGGTTCCAGCAGGGGAAACTTATCTTGGACTGTGACACATACCACTGAAGATATTTAAAAATCCTGTGCATAAAGATGTTTAATATTGTTATGAGGCTCAGAAACCAGTTTCACAACTCCTGTAAATTAAAATTTCAGGTTTAACACTGCATTAAGATAGCATTCTGTTGCTTTTAATATATATTTTTTGTTGTATGAGCTTTTAATTGTCTACCAAGTTAGGCATAATAGTAAAGAAAAATATTTTATTCATGAAGTCCAACCACCATGTTTTGGCAACTTCTCAAAGTGGTGTGTGTGTGTGTGTGTGTGTGTGTGTACACTCACACACGTTTCTATACCTACTTGCACTGTGGATTTTCACACCAGTCTTCTTCCCGATGTTTCTGTTCATTCCAGGGAAGAATCATCAATACATCCTTCCTACAACTATTACAAAACACAATGAAAATTTTATACAAACATTTTGAAAAAATTGATTGCAAAATATTCTGTGTAGTTAATATATAGTGCAGCAAAGTATTTTCATTTAATCTATATCATAAATAGTGTGGGGTATCAGTCAACTGGGAGTATCAACTCCTGCAGATATCTGTTGAATAAATTGTATATATAGAGGCATGAGAGTAATTTTGCTCAACTTTGAAATCCTGTATGCTATTTAAAGGTTTTTTGAGAGCTATTTCATGAACAGATTTTACTCATACTATTTTTTGACAATTTAATTTCTTAGAACTTTCTAATTTGTCAAACAATAGCAAAACTGTAGGCTAGCCTTCCTTTGCATTCGCAGTAAAGATATTTAACAAGAATATTTCACAGAAGCTCGAAATGAATTTAAAAGAATAGGACACGATCCTTAGCTTAAAGGATTTCTTTACAAACTTGTAAGCAAATCATTTTACTGCACAGAGATAAAATATATCTTGCTTCAATGATTTTCTTAATTAAGTCAGACATGGTTTTCTGCCTAAAAGTAATCTATCTACAAGATATCTATCATGAACATTTACTAAATGCTGCAGTAAGAATTATCTGAAAATACAATTTGCATTTCCTGTATACAACACATTAAAAACAATAGAAGTTATTACTAAAAAATAGTTATGTTTTTATCCTTCTACTCTCTGGTATTTGTTAAGTGTTTAAACATCAAAAAAGCTGGAAAATCTCGTTAAGCTATGCAAAACATAAACCACAAAAAAACTGGATTCTCCAAACAACATAGGCACGGTTTTAAAAGTTTCAGCAAATTATAACAATACAATGATTAGAGCATAGAAAGTAGAGACCTGTGTTATATGCCAGCCTGCACAACTTTAGTCTCAACTACCTTTTTTCCATTTTCCCCACTTTCCACTTAAATTAAAACATTAAATCCTGAAAAGTACAATCTATCCTTAAAAAGCCATAAAAGCCTCCATGGTGATACCAAACAAGGCCACCTCTTTTCCTTCACCTTAGTGCTCAAGCTTCTAACCTAGCTAACAGAAATTTGTCTCCTTGACAGGTGGAAGGATAAGGCTACCCTACCCATAAACAGCTGGTTCTGGTTAGGATAGGAGAAAGCAGCTATAACAAAAGCCAGGAAACACTTCATTTCAGAATTCAGCAAGAAAGTTGGAGCATAGGTTGAATATCAAAGCATTCTCTTTTCCCTATACCGCCTAAGCAGATAAAACAAATACACATATGGGGGGGAGCTATGACAAAGGAGTGTCAGAATATCACTTCATCAACCAGGAATCTGAGTCCAGTGCCATTACCCTTTGTTTTAAGTCCTATCTGACTCCTTTGGTTTAATCCTAGCCCCATGAAAGTCACTGGGAATTTTGCCATATGACTGGCCCACAGTTCTGGCAGCCCTATAAGACCAACTGATTGGACCAACATATATACCCTTGGCTTTGGGGACTTTTCACATTCTTTAATGTTCAGTGGGTTGTTTTAATCCATTCCTGCAAAAATGTTGCCACGCTCATTTTGGATACCCTCTCCAAACAAGTTTAAGTCAA